CATGTGCTTGCTTATTTTCTGTTTTCTGGAAACATTTATGCTTCGTCATTTTCTTTAATGTCATTTAAAAGTATTTTACATAAATAATTGGTAGATTTTTCCAATATCACATCTTTATTCTCTTTATTTAATGTTTCTTGTGGTTTCTTTATCTGTTGTATGCGACCTTTCTTATTTTGTAAATTAATCTTTAAATTCTTATGGTTTATACTTTTTGCCGTAAATGTATCATCTATAACATAAAGAAAGATTTTTTTAACTATATATAAATATGATATGATTTGTCACATATAACTAATTCCAGAATTAATATTACATATTTACATTATAATGTGGCTATATTTATATGTAATTATAAATTTAAAATGGAATATTTAAAAGAATTCAATTGAATTTAATGAAATTAAACAATCATTAAAAACAAATCTCAAGATTTTTTAATAAAATTGTAACTTGAATGACAAAATTAATAAATTAATAAACAAAATTATATATAAAATAATAATAATATCAAAATATAATGAATATGAATAAGATTATAATAAATTTGCTAGTACATACAAGCCTCTTTGTCTGCTTTTAAGTGCTCCAAATGCTCCTCTAGATGATTTTTAATGCATACTCTTGCTTTTTCTTCACTAGCAAAACTAGTATATTTTTGTTGGCAACCAGGCACTAATGCACAGGAATAAGAGTATTGTCTTTTGAGCTCATCGCTTGTAAAAATAGCAAATTGCTTAATAAGATGAGAAACAGGCATAGACATCAGCTGAGATACAGTGAAGCAGTCTTTCCGTTTCATACTCGCTGTTTTAGGTTTGAATTGCAATGTTAGCATCGAGTTATTATGTTTTTTCTCAGAATGCAGTGTTTGAGATGCAACTTCCGCAAGTACTTCTAATAATGCTGATGGACTATCCCTTCCTATAGTACCTATAATAATTTTCTATTATTCTTAGTTACATTTATTAAGCTTATCTATTATCTGTAAAATATATAATTTTATTATTAAATAAAAATTAAATTTTCTTAAAAGAATAAACATTCGAGATGTACTTTCAAAGAATTTTGATTTATGATAGATCTTTAAAAAGGTCTTTTATATCTTTAATCTTTAATAATAAAAAATAAAGCAAAATAATTTTTTATCAATATATAAGATTTTATTTCATATACATACCTATACATCATTAAAGAAAAAAAAATACAGGGAAATATAAAAGTTGTGTACTGTAAGTATATAATTCATTGTTAAAACATGTCACTATCAATATAAAAATTCCTTGCATCAGTAATAAAAATATTTCTAAAGATCAGAAATATATATGTACATATATATGTACATTACAAAACTTATTAAAATTCGTACAATTTGCGTTGCAGATGACATTAATCTATCTCATATAAAGTAACGTCGCGGAAACATTTACATACATCTCTCAAGTAAAAATTGTTTTCGTGTAATAGCAGACGCCATAAGGACGCCCAGCAGACGGTTTTTCAGTTTACAATCTACTAGTGTATGTGTACCGTGTATGCGTACTTTTCCTGGTTGGAAAACGCGATTCGATAACAACAATTTAGAAACGAAGTAAAAGGGAAATAGAATTACCTCCATTGTAGGAATTCGATATATGTTGTGGATTTCTTTTGGTGTTCATGATGACATTAACAGCGTGTCTACATTCCCCAATTCCTCGCTTGTGAACAACAGGTTCTCCGATTGTTGGCCAATTTCTCCCTCTTGTCAATCATCAACTGTTGCCAACCAATTATGTCAAACTCCCTTTTCACGCATGCGCGTAAAACCTTGTGTTCACAATGCTAAAAATCCATCCAAGGGAGGTCGATCATGTAACTTTTCCCCTAGGGCGGAAACATGAAAAGTGAAAAGTTTCACGTGAACTTACAATCATGTACGATTTCGCGGGATCATGTAACTCTCTCAAATATGAAAATGTGAAATTTTTCACGTGAACTTTTTCGCCATGTATCTTGGTGGCGGAAAAACAGAAATCTAGGGAATTAATAAATATGTGGAATTAGAGAAGATTAGGGCTGCATTAGGATTAAATGTACGTAGTACATATACAATTGGTTACTAAAAGACGTATATAATACTGTACCAATAAAATAATTTTCTATAAATTAGCTATAATTTAGCTATAATTTTCTATAATTTAGCTATAAAACCTATGAAATTATGTTTCATAATTTCACTTTCCACGCATCCAAGCTACATACATAATCGCTATACGTGAAAAGTTTCACGTGAAATGTCAAGGCATGAAAAATGAAAAGTGAAAAATTTCACGTGAAGTTACATGATTGACCTCAAGATCTCGGATAGAGGAAAAATTGACCAATCGTATTGATAATTGGTTGAAATAGTCATTACGATTGGTCAATTTTTCCTCTGTTCGAGATTTCGGATCAATTTCTAGCATCGTCGATACAATTTACATTCGAATATCGATCATGTAACTTTTCCTTAGGGCGAAAATGTGAAAAGTGGAAATTTTAATTATTAAAGATAATGAAAAAATTTTTCACTTTTCACGTTTCCACCCTAGAGAAAAAGTTACATCATCGATATCCTGAACTTCTTGCATGATTCATAAACTTCTTTTCCTTTCTGTATTGGAAGAAAGAAGAGAAAAGATGAAACTGTGCCAAGAAATTCAGCTAAAAGGAGCGAGCCTATTAAATAATTTGAGTCTTAAGTCATAGAAAAGTGAAAATAATGAAAAAAATTTTTACTGTTACATGATTGAGACATATTTAAAATTTTTTTGAGGGGAAAGGGGTGTCAATTCTATTAACATAAATTGCAATTTTTGCGTTTGAATGAATTATTTTGTTGGATATTTTGAAGCTTAAAATTATTTTCTCGTTCCTGATTTTAAATGAGAAAAATATTTTGTAGATCATAACTTTAATTTTACTTTAACTTTTTTTTTATTTTGAAACGGATTAAACCTTTCAAAATCTCCCTGGATATGCCCATGACATGATCCAGTTAAAAAAAACGGACAAATGTGACAAATGAGAATTTTTTCCGGTAATTGTTTAATTTAGCCCCACCAGCTTCAATTTTGATGAAATTATGCTAATTTGAAGAATTCAAAGTGAAAAAATTTGATATTTTTCTTCGACAGTACAAATTTTCATTTTTCACGTATTTGCTGTAGGAAAAAAGTTACATGACCGGTACTTAGTATCAGAAAAGTAAAACGGTGATTGGTCATTGCACTTCCGCATTGCTGCGTTGTATGCATGAGATAAAAAGAGAGAGAAAGAAGCATGTGTCCACTGAAAATGTATTTGCCTTAAGAGTCGGTAGGAGAGACTATAGAGACCTCTATCGGAGATGAATTCCTTTTCATTTATATTACGGCCAAAATACTGCGAGAAAAACTATATAATTATGATATTTATAATCAGAATATTTGCCTGACGGAAGCTACAGAGCGATTTTTGTAAGAAAATGTGTGAAAATAAATAATTCATTTTATGCGTAAATAGATTTGCACTATAGGACAATAAGGTGCAAATATTTTCATCTATTGTAAATTTTTTTTGAAGAGCCAAATTGCAAAATCCCGTTCTGACTTTCGTCTACAAGTCATAATTTTATAAAAAATAATACGTAGAAAATACGTAGAAAAAGGCTCATGGCAGAATATTGCTTCTACGAGATGATATATGGGTGTACTCAAATATATATCTGCACTGTAAATAATGAATAGATAGTTATATCTATTTCAATTATGTAAGAGCTAAATGGCAAAATTGGCTCTATAGATACCTTCGTAATTGTAAAAGAAATTATCTTAGCAAAGTTTTATGAAACATCGTTTCACGAAACATCGTTTCACGAAACATCGTTTCACGAAACATCGTTTCTATAAGGCAAAATATAATTGAGTACAGATACATATCTGCACTGTAAATAAGGAGTAGATAATCATTTTAGATCGGAGTTAGCCCGTCACTCCTGCCGACTCTTAACGTCAAATTGTTATTAGGCAATACATCGTGTAGGAGATATTTATTTTCGTCTACTATTATATAGTTAATAACGAGTTGCTATATAACGATGGAGAACATTCGCTCACCGATAGAGAACGTTCGCTCGCCGATGGATAACCTCTTTAACATGTTGTCAGGTTTCAGCGCGGGTCAAGAGAAGGCTTTGAAACAAGGAATCTATAACGCTCTTGCACTCTTCTTCCTGTGTCTCATTTCAGCGGCCGGCTATGGCCTCTATATTATACTGAGTCCCTTCGTCAAACCTTTAATTTGGGCTCTACTATGTGGCTCTGTTCTCTTTCCGTTCAAATGCTCACTAGCTACAGCGGTGCAGTCATGGTTCGCTGGGATGGAGGCAACGCAAACTCCATTAATTGTCAATGTCAGCCTGCTACCTGTGCACATATTCGACAGTATCTCTGAAAACGTGGGTTCCTTTTTGTGGACACGTATCAAGTATATCATTGGGATAATATCGGCAGTATTGTTAGCCATAGGTATATACCATTACATCCTAATGTGATAACATGCCTTGTTTGGAGACTGTATTGGCTGTTCACTACAATCTCTGGATTCTTTATTCGAACCTGCAACATTTTTATGGTAATTTATTTCATTTACCCATCTTTTTTATTACTTGACATATATATTTGGTATACTATAGAAATTTTCTTCTCTTATTGAAAAAAATACTTATTTTAATGAATATTTAATTAATTTTTATTTTGCAGATCTTTACTGTACTTATTGGTTATTTAATAATTCTGTATGTTTATTGGAGACCATCAAATTCTTCTCAATTTCGTTACATATCCTTTGTGATATGGTTTATTATCACCATGTATCTGTCGAGCATGGCAGGTGCTTATCAAGTCTTGGTCTTTGCTACTTTGCAAATTCTGTGTGTAATAGGATTTATTTACGAAATAATATTTATTATGGAGAATCATGAACTGAATGGTACACACTTGACATTCTCGGAGGCAGCACGTTTTGCTCTAACGAATAATTTATTACCAAGCTCACAGGAAAATAAGTTAGTTTCATCAGAGAGCGATGAACAAATAAACGAATCTATTTCGAAAGACGAAAGTATGGACACGTCAATTCACTCTCGAGAAGAAACAGGAAGATCAGCGTCTGCAACAAATATTAGGAGAATATATAGTGCACCAAAATTTGGCATAAAATCGATGTCATTGGATACAGAAGGTTTATCTCCCACGGCGAAGCGCGATCGTTATCTACTTAGCAAAATAAGAGCTGAATTACGAATGTCTCTAGATATACAAGACGACAAGGTTGACACTGATAAATACATGTATGGAGCGCTATATGCATGCGCTGGTATGCTTCTCTGGAAACACAGATGGATCGCCCATGTTCTGATAATCCCACTGGCATATTACATTGTTAAGCAGCTGGGAATCTATTTTGGCTTTTGGAAAATAATACGTGGGTACTATGATTCGATGATACAAGCGTTCACATCATGGTGCATGGAACGACATCAAGCGCTTGTACCCTCCAATATTAGAGGATTATATAAAGTAAGCATTATCATCGACGAAAAACTGAGAAATGTTTTGAAAAGTTCTATCAATGCAGTAGCAACTACAGCTGTGATATTTGGATTAATCATTTTCACCACTTGTGCATCTATTTTCATCACGGTACAGGTATGCAATAAATCTTTGTGTGCATACTCATTTATATTGTATACTATATTATTATGCATATTTTGATTCTATTATAATAATATCATATAATAATTCCTATCATAATAATTCTATCTGTTCGTTAGATTTATGCAGAGGGTATGCATCTCATTCAAGTAACGGGTGACATACTAAATTCATCTTTGATGAATAATCCTGATATTGATTGGGTCCCAGAAAAATGGGAAGAATCCGTTAACAGTGTTTTAGATAATGCTTATACATATGGACGAAGCGCTATATCAGATGGAGTAAGATTTATTATATTTATTTTTTTCATTTTGCATGCAGTATAACCAGTAGTGGCTCTCTATATCAGTACCTTTGATCTCTGCGTGCCAATTAATGTTCTGCTATGTTCTTAGTTGTCAATCCAGTATTGAATACTCTAATGTAAGCAACAGCGTAGTTACTTTCCCATTTTCATAAATTTTCTTGTTTGTGTTACATCGTTGAATACGGAAGCGTCCCGTTTATCTATGTTCCCATCGGACATCCATTCACATCGACCGATCATTAGGAATCTTTTAATGGATCATCAGAAAATAATCACTAATATTTAACTGACCAACTGGCAACATAAACAATCGAGTCTTACCTGAATACTATACACAATATAATTTTATCTTTTTTTTTTATCAATTTTTCAGAAATATAAAATTTACGTTCACAACGTTGTTCCTGTTGTGCATTTTATTGACTGGCAAACAACATGGTCTGTGTAATTGGATCTATGCGGCATACATTTTTTCGGAGAATGTCACTATTGTTTATACTGTGCTTTGCACATACAATCGCATCAAGATTGCTTATTTAGCTTGCTTAATGCAGATTCGAGGTCTTGTGAAAGAACCGGTGAAAGCAGAACAGATGGAGAAAAAAGTTTTGGAGCTCTGGGATCATCTTTATCAAGCGTGGATAATGTCGAATGTGGATCCGAATCTCGTGGATCCAACTGCAGATTTTACATCTGTGTATTCTACTTGGGAAAGCTTTAAAGAAAATTTTGGAAAAACGCCTCTCCGTAAATATTCAGTCTCGTGAAATTTAAGATTATTCGTTACATTATACTTTTGATTTTTTTTTCATAAAATTACAGTTTTCTCAACAATAATAGGGCATTTCTTACGTACATATCATCGAAGTTTTTTTTTCAGATTTATTTAATATGACTAGTATACAGAACTTTGCTAAAGAAAATATTGGTATTTTAATGTCGGTACTTGATTCTATCTGGAGCATCGTCAAGGGTAATATGTCTATAATACTAACAGTTTTCACGGAGTTGTTCTATATTATACTCATGAGCGGATCAGCAGTACTTAATTTTGTATTAAGTACGGTATGTAATATGTTTCTATGAAATTTTAACGGAAGACACAAGACACAAGAATTTTCTATTTCAGGTTGTGTTCTTTACAACTTTATTTTACTTGCTCAGTTCCAGTGGCAAAACTTATAAACCTGTCGAATTGACAACAATGTTTAGTCCCATTAGTTGTCATAGGTAATTATCCGACATTTGAAATTTGATTTTATATTATGGTTTACACTTTTTTATATCAAATTATTTTATATTGAAAAGAAAAAACATTAAAATAGAGTAATTCGAATGTCGATAAACCAATCTCAGAATCATAGCAAACTGTCTGATTGTTGAAGAAAATTATAATGTTCTTTTTATTTTGAATTTTTTTCTCAGTATAAATATATAAAAATATTTATAACAAGCACATTACATGTAGAGAAATAAGTTATTCGAGTTAATATTAATATCGTAAAATTTTGATAATGTTCTCAAGAAAAATATTTAAAACAACATTGGCTTTGTCTAGGTTCGCTGTAACGTTACAAGAAGCAGTGATTGGAGTGTTTGCTGCCACTTTTAAACTAGCTTCTTTTTTCGGTATATGGACGTGGTTCGTACACAATTTATTCCAAGTGAAAATTGTTTATTTGCCATCGGCCCTCGCAACTATGTTGGGTGCAGTTCCTTTCTTAGATGTGTACTTTGCCTGCATTCCGGCTACCATAGAACTCTGGTTCACTCGTGGATCGATGATCGCTATTACTTTTTTTCTCTTCCATTTCCTCCCATGTAACATAGTAGTAACGGAATTTTATAAGGAGATTAAAGGGTAAAATTGTGTTTTGTAATATTAATATATTCTTTTCAACTGCACATTATTTTTGCATACATTTTATTTGTTACAGTGGCGGGCATCCTTATCTAACAGGTTTATCGATAGCGGGTGGAATCTTCTGTTTAGGTGTGGAAGGAGCCATTTTTGGACCTTTGCTCTTGTGTTGCATTATGGTTGTCATCAATTTAAGCCGTCATTACTTGCAATCACCTGAAGAAGAAGAGGAGTCCATACTCTCAACGTATCCCAGCCGTGGAAAAACATCGCAATATGAATCAAAATGATGTTTGTTGTTTTATTAACAGAAATTAATATATCTGTTTAACAATATTGTAAGCTACGAAGTTGGCTCCAGCTTTTATTTACAGATTAAAAATTTGATATTTAATATTTTATGAAAGTTAACGCTGCGCTATAGCTAGATTAAATATGCAACGCAAACAGATGCAAAAGTATTTTATATAGATTTATGTGATAACAGAATTAACAAAGAGTCTCGACTTACGCTTATTAGATTTAGGGATATTTACATTGTATGTATAATCAAAATGAATTTTTTTCTATTTATACATATTCTTAATATATTTTTGTTACAAATTTGAATTTAAATAATAGATTTCTTCTTTTCCTATCATAGTCTTCCACCACCATGTATCGAAAATTTGATATGTATGAATCAGTGATGATTGTTACAACAATTTTAATATAATTTATGTATACAATAGAATTTTAATTATATTTTAAAAATGTTATTACATTTTTTGTTTCTAACGTATCGATTAATACTAAATGTAAATCAAAAAACATATAGCACACACTTATCGTGACAGACATTAAAGAAAAATTTCTATGACTATTTTGAGATGAAAATCTTAGAGAGAATAAAAGTATAGATTTGTGTAACGCATACTATTTTCATCTCCAAAATAAAAATGGAGAATTCTAATTAATTTGAGTTTGTACTTTCGTCCTGATGAAAAATATTTAAAGTTGATTAAACTAAAATTCGCTCGCTCAAACACATCGCATAGTAAAGAAAATCTCAAAATTTTCGTCTGATTCACAGAATTACTCGTTGAATGCATCCAATACTATAAAAACTCTCCGAACGGCAAAAATAGCAATTGAATTCTTCGATTATGTACTTTGTTTCTAATAAATCATTCAATTGCTTAAGCATATAGCTAATTATAGCTAATTTTATGTCAGCATGATGTAACGAGTTATCAGTCAAGTAATACATATTTTTCGCACTCTATATATGTATGTATGTGTGTGCGTATGTATGACAGACTTCAAGCTTAACATTTATATTTTTTGTCATATATGTATAACCAAAGATATAATATACATTTTCTTAATATTTAGTGCATTTATTATATCCTAAATTATAGTTCTTTAAAACTATAAAAACACAATGTCCAGTTTAATGTCGACGATAATTGGTGGCGTCGTAGTTGTACTCATTATTCTTATTGGATTTGAAATTTATTTACATTATGATACTTACTTTCTGTCAAGAACACGATAGACGATACGATATAATTAAACAAAGAAATTTATTTATCATAATAAAAACTTTATTTGCAAGGCACAGTATATACAATTCTTATAGTAATTTTCAAATGATATGTAAATATTACGAAAACATTTAGATGTTACGTACTGTCCAAAATTTGTTCTTTTTTAGTTACCGTTAAAATTATTGTCTATATATATCGGATATATGTGTAAGTTTTATATTATTTTGTAATAATTCTGTTGTAATCATCTCGTGCGCATAAAAAATAATTTCTTTCTTTTCCTCAAACATATGAAAGCCATTTTCCGAAAAACGACCACGTATATTGCCTACTTCCAACCACACGAATAATGCTATATTATCTGTCGTTAATACAACTTTAAAATCTGCATAATTGGAAAGTTTCCCAGGTAAATGATTCTCTTCGACCTTTATCTGAAACAAGAAATATGTTGCGCATCAACATTTTTCCAATAATATCTACAGTATCTGCAATATATCTGAAGTTTATACACAATACAAATTAATCTTCTTACAGTGACATTGGCTACTGGTATATCTACATTTTTTAATGCATCAGGATATATGTAATTCAATGGCGCGATTAGGGTTCCAGATTTATCTGTGAGAGACAAAGTGGCTATGCAAGATTTCTTGACAGATTCCCATGATCCACAACCCGCTTCAATCAAGAATGCTTCTAACCAGAAAGATACAATTTTCACGGCTTCATTTGATTCCTGAAAAAGAATCGATATAGTCAAATGGATATCAATATATGGATTATGCATCTTATTTTATCAATACTTACTACTATAATATTATCAAAAGATAAAGTAAATATAGATTTCATGAATTCCCATTTATAAACACGAACATTTACTGTACAATTTGTTAAAGTATATAATTTATCAGATACTACATATATTGAAAGTTCCTTAGAAACAGACAAATATGATGTAACGATAACGGGAGCGAAAAAATCCTTAGCATAATAATGGAGCATTTTCCAACGACCTTCGATATCTGTAAATATAACAAAAGTTTTCATAATATAAAATTATAACATAAAATAGTAATATCTTGTAGTTTAAAACGATTAACATTTCCTCATATTTAACATTAACTGTCAACCGATTGAATAGATCTATCCATTTCATAATTCACTGAACGACTAAATGGATAAAGCTATCTTTTTGTGCTATATCTCTTTGAGCACTTAGTGTAAACATTAAAAATTCAAAAAAACGATATCCAGCATACGGCTGGCAATGTGTTAAGTAAAAGAAAAAAAGAACATTATGAAAAAATTTAAAATTTCAACATATCTCGCATGTTTATTCTTTCGAGAACTTTGAAAAAGCTTTTATTATTATTATAATATTGGGATTACTGATACATTTTAATTCTAACTTCAAGATATGAATGTCTAGATTACCTATAGACGACCATGAAGGAGCTTGCCAGACATCGTTGAGTTGCCAATAGAGAGCTCCCATTGTTTTACCCTCACCAATAGAATTTACCTCGGACTTAGCTTGCCTATATGCTTCCGTTTCTATCCTTATAGAGACAGCTTGATTGACCTGACTGAGATATACATAATTCGCGAAATCTCGGATGCTGTCATTACTTTGCGGTACAGCAAAATTATGCAAGATCAACAACAGCATGTACTGATTGCCGAGTGGTTGATGTTGTCTGTGGTTTACAAAGTCACTGTCAACACGAAGATCTTTCACGGTTTCTATAGCGGTCGCTATTGTATATATCGATGGCCAAGCTTGGAACCCATATTCGGAGCAGAATCTTGCTCGAGGATACTGAGTGATGTCCCAACCATTCCTAAGGTAATTATAGTAATGAACTAAAAAGCGGAAAATATTCAGCGTTAATATATTCAATCGAATCATGTTTTAAATAGCCAAAGAAAATTTTCTATATATCTATATGTCTGGTATGATTACCATCGCCATAAAGATTCGAAGAAGGACTCACTCCGGTGTAATTATACGTTTTCTCATATGCTCCGTTGCCCGGACTAGACACGACAAATGGTCTTGTAGGGTCTAGTCTCTCCACTTCCGTCTTCAATAAATTTACATAAAGTTTCATGTAATCTTCTCTATATATCTGAGCAGAACCTGTGCCATACCAATTATCATGAAGCGCTGCCTCGTTTTCGTTATTACCAGCCCAAATCACGATGCTTGGATGATTCTTTAAACGTATCACGGTCTGCAGTGTTTCTTCCCTTATGCTCTCCAAGAATGAATCGCTCGTAGGATACATGGAACATGCAAACATGAAATCTTGCCAGATCATGATTCCATATTCATCGGCCAAGTCGTAAAATAATTTCGATTCATAAACACCACCACCCCATACTCTCAGCATATTCATATGTGTTTCTTTGGCGGACAACAACAAATGCCTAATGGTGCTATCCTTTGCGCCTAATTCAGGAAAAACACTGGCTGGAATAAAATTGCTGCCTTTAGCAAAGATCGGTATGCCGTTTATACGAAAATAGAAGCTCAATCCTTTCTTTAAAGGTTCTTCCACTAATTCCACCGTTCTGAATCCTATACGAATCCGTTTGTACAGTACGTCGTTTGTCGTTGTCACAGTGGTAGTTAAGTAATATAGATGTTGCTTGCCATAACCATTCGGCCACCAATTTTCAACAGCATCCTTAGAAGTAATTAAAAAAATGTTAGACTATTAATATATTTGCAATTGTTAATATAATATTCTGTCTTTTAATATAGTATAATTAGATGCCAATATACTATTATCTTCTTATATTTCTTCTTCAAATTAATCAAAATAAACATAAACATAATAAACATTTTTAATAATATACATTTTTTAATAATAAACATTTTAATAGAATAAAAATGAATATGCGATCTTATAAAAAAAATTTTTTATAAAGAATATTTTCAAATTTACAAAAATGAAATATATATATCAAATTTATTTTTATATAAAAATATTTATATAACTTTTTAAGAAAAATGTACTTCTTTGAATTAAAGACAAATTATGACATGCATACGAAGAAAAATTATTTGATGTTTAAAATTCGTGAACAATATGAATTCGATAAATTCGAATGAATATTGCAACATATTAACGACAATAATTAAAACTTACTGCAGGCACGTTGAGTGAAATATTAATATTTATGGATTTCCTACTTGTATCGAATACAATTTCGCTGGTATTACTGATAAGTTTGCTTTGCGAAATATGCAATATCGACGCTACGTGACAACTAACTTCGTCTTTATTCTGTGTTGTCTCAAGGAATATTGTGACGAGAATGTTCCAGATATCATTCTTTTTGCGTATGTCAGTTGTAATGTCATTAATTAATATATCATTTACAGGAATTAATTCCACATCCTTCCTGCAAATTTATTTTATGTAATATTAATAAAAATATAAAAAATAAAAACAACAAAATATATTATGAGATACAATTGATTACTTATTACCAAATGCCCATCGAAGGAAAAGCAGGTCCCCAATCCCATGAGAAACTGGCTTGCATTTTCCGAATATGATTTACGTGACATTGTCCATTATATTCCTTAGGTACACATACTGGTGGTACAATATAATTTTTCTTCTGTTCATTGTACATATTTTCAGCTACTTTAACAGGTGAATGAAATATGACTTTTAATAGATTTTCCCCTTTCTATATATTTTCCGAACAAATTGTATTAGTATTACCCATATTTTGCACATCATTTAATTTTATCAATTTAAATTACCTTGATAGAATCTGTCACATCAAAACTATATCTTAAGAACATATTTGAGGTTTCTCCAATCACATAGTCGTTCAAAGAAATATTGGCAAATGTGTCAATTCCGTGAAAAACCAAGACTATCTTGCGAGCTTTTAAAAAATTACTGCTCACTGAAAATAACATGTTTAAATTTTGTTTTTATTAGCTTAAATTATTATTTTTTGTAAAGATATCTTAAGTTGTTATTTAAAGATGTCATCTTAATGATCAACACAAATTTCTCGATCATTTTAAAAAATTATATTTTTTTATCAATTATTATCTCTATTTATCAATAATGCAAAACAATTGTCATATAGGGATAATAACAGATAAAAAATAAACTTTTTTACAAATAATAAAATTTAACCAGACAATTTATAATTGTAATTGTTTAAGATGAATTAATCTTTAATATTAACTGCTATGATGGTGATCAACACCTGAATTTTTAATAATAACCGGTAACACATTAAAATTTTTTAAAATATATGCAATTTTAAAATTTTAATAAATAAAAGTAATTTTTTAAAAGATAAAAGCTATTTAATACAAATCTTTATATGGAAAAATATAAACGTCATTAAGTCAATATCTTAATATTCTATTTTATATATATGAAATGATAAATTACCACTAAAATTTTTAATATAAGTCACTGATTGATTCCCGACCCAACGATTATTGACATCATTTCTTCCATATAAATTATTCTCTATTATATTATTCTTCTGTAAATCTGTATAAATTCCTCCAGGAACAGTTGCACTGAAATTAGTACCTAGAAAAGAATAATTGTTAGAGTAAATATGTGTTTATGAATGATAAATATTTCTATCAGTTATCAGTTTCAAAAAAAATTTAATACAATTATTTAATAAATTTTTTTACCATTGTTGCATCCTTCAAAGAATTTTTTGCCTGAAAAAAATATTTTTTTATTGTATAATATATTTTATTATGATTTATAATAAATAATTTACATACACATTATAAAAAGTGTTACAAGCTATTTTCTCAATCTCTATTAGAGATAAATTTTTGGAAAATTTTTTAAAATTTATTAGAATGTTTTATATGTTTTATAATGGAATATAGTTAAATTTAACAACTATATTAAATTTATAAAGTGAAAGAAAGGCTAATCCTGCATTATTTAAATAGACTCTCATGTTTCTATATACATTAATTGATACAATTTTATAAAAAACTTTTTAATCTTTTAAAAATTATTATAAAGCAATATTTAGAAATTTTTAGAAGTAGTCTAGAAATTTTTAGTCTAGAAATGATTTTATATTTTATTCTGATATATTTAAAAATTTAATATAAAATACCTTGTAAAATATTCATTAACTACTATTATCTTATACTTTCTAGATAGGCTAATAAGGTAAATTCATTATATAATAAAAAAAAATCATTAAAATAATTAAAAAGTAAATAGTTTAGAAAATATTTCATAAATATTAAATATTAAAATATATCAGACTAAAGTATAAAATGGCTTCTAAATTAATAATATATTTATAGATATTTTTTATACAATATATATAATAATAATTACCACAAGTATTGATAGTTCCTCTCCATGCTCCATTTAGGGTTATAACTTGGCAATGTATGCAAGTCAAAGTTGAAATCCATAATACCAAAACGAAAAGGTTCATTTCAGCAAATGACAAGTATATAATAAAATACAATATGAAGTACAATTATCTAAAATTAAAGATTAAAAATAATGAAATGGAAACTGTTTACGTGCATACGTATACTCGCTCTTTACTATTTATTTGTATCAAGAAACATACCAATTTTCAATAAATATAAAGATAAAACGACGGCTTATTGACGGCTTATTTAAAGAGCAATTTGTCACTATCTAATCCATGGATGCAACATTTTTCCATCCAGTTTATCTCTTGATGATTATCTCTTTTAGATAAGGGCAAGGTTTATCAATACATAACCTTGATATCAAGAAAACTGATGATATACATAACATCTGCTTTATCATCTTTTATAATCTTTATCTGACGGATATATTTTCATGATGTAAAATTTTGAACAAAACTAACTTGTTTGTAAGCTTAGATTTCTTTCTCGTATTCCTATATTGCACAAGTTATTAATATCTCGTATTTGAGCACAGGATTAATGAAAACTCTTGAATTAATCGTAATTTATATTTTATTTAAAAACAATAGATTCCATTAGTACAAAAATATTATGTTAAATTATTACTATTTAGACATTCTAGAATTTACGAAAACAATGCCTGGTTACTGCTTTATATATATATATATATATATATATATATCATTTGTCTGTGCTGCGTGTATTGCAAAATAAAGTTTCATTCGTATGGGGATTGAATGTATTTACGTATTTATAATGATCAAGAAATATAGCATAATATGCGATATTTCTATTTTTAATCTTCCATAATCTTACATCAAAATAAATAAAATACTTTATTGCCCGTAACATCATATATAAGCCTTAATAATGCAATACACTTGTAAAATCATAATAAGAGATATCTATTTTCTTTACAATTTCATTTTCTTAAACAATATGAAAATATGAATGAAATTTTCACAACAAATATTTACATTCTTATTTTGAGATCTAGAATATATTTTTTATGAAAGATGTTATTATGAAACAAAAAAAGAAAAACTAATTAATAGGCATGTTACGAGATAAACATGCTTCATAACTCATCATCTTAATTTTAAGATCTTTGTCAATTTTTAATTTCAAAGCAATTATTCTTCAATCAAAATATAAATAAGCATCTGGCTTCCAATTTACAATGCAAAACAAGAAAATTCTTGAACCAAATTTTAGACAAATAAATTATACTTTTTAATTATTTCAAGTAAAGTTTATATTGATAAAATTTGATGTCGAATCTTTAATGACTTTTTTTATAAAAGATTGTATAATGTTACAAATTGGGATAAATATAATAGTTTTGCTCGACAATATCACGTGATATCAAATTGCTGGAAGAGTCTACCATTAAATTGTGAATTATAAGATATTTTGTGTATGCGTATTATTCAATACGTAATTAATACAAATTGTTAAAAATGCAAAAAAGATATATTAAAAAGATATATTTACTTCAGTCAACTCTATGTAATAGCACTTAGTGTAATTTGCTAAAGAAAAAGATCTTTTATTTGAAATAAAAGAAAAAATATAATTATATATTTGAAATTTTCATAAAGATATGAGATTGATCAACGTTTCCTTTTTCTATTTATATATACGTTTTTTTTACTAGTAGATGGAAATTGATTCAAATAATCTATCTCGGAATCTTTCTGTTCACTGATCGGTTTAAACTTGCGAAAAGATGAGGTAGAGATGTTTTCAGTATTTTCAAGACCTAAAGAAAAAAATACATAACTAAAATTAAATATAAATGAAAATTTGGTCGAAACGAAAGATAATTTTTTTGATTATTAAATAAAAATAAAGAACATAATATTTATGTCAATAACATTACAATAAAATATTAACCTCTACATATTTTAGATTACATTTTAGATTTTCAATATGAATTACAGATTCGTTATATAAATAAAAATGCTTACAATTTTATTGTTAAAGAATTTTTAATAATTTTGAAGATTTTAAAGCTGCTATATTGAGAATTGATAATTTAAATGTACAAGTCTAATTAAGTCTAGAATTATCTTAATATGCATCATGATAAGATATTATTTATCAGAAATAAGAAATATTATTAAACAACAGATTATGTAATTCTGAACATACCACGAGAGTGCCTTTGATTATTCCTATTATTTATACACTGCTGAACATGTTCATCGTATTCCTTTCCATTATTTGTTTGGTAATTGCTGCATATATTACATTCCAATTGATCCATATCACTATCATCCTGTTCGTTATTTATTTCGAATTGATCGCAATCGGCGGCATGATTCTCTATCTCGTCATGTGGAAACCATTTATTGCATATAGGACAACTTACATCATTTGTCGGAACAGGTACATTGACATCAGACTGATTACCAATCTGTACATCAGATTCCTGTAAGAGTTAGAAAAAAATAGTAATACTTTGCCAAATATTTGGAGATAAGTAAACAGATATAGTAAATAGAGAAAAGGAAGGAGAGAGGGGGGGGAGAGAGAGAGAGAGAATTAAATTTTTAATAATTTACTTGATTCATCATAGACAATTCTTCCTCATCATTGGACATTAATTCATGTTCCCAGCTTCCGTTTCTATTTTTGTCCTAAATAATTCTGTTTCCTTCTGTTCTTCGCATAATTTAACTTTCTTTTTCTTGTTCTGTTCCCCATCGCTATCTTCTTCTCTCGCTGCCGCCCGCATTTCTTTCGTCGTTTTCGTTTTGTTAAGTAACAATCGTTTCTCTCGTAATTTGGATTGTACATCTTCTGATATCGGCAATGGACGAATCTCTATGTCCTTTTCTACCGTAATCTTTTCTTCATCGCTCCATTGTTCCAGATTCTGACGAATTTCTTCTTCAGTCATTTTATTGTCCTTCTTTTGATTTGTTTTTTCAACAACTTTACTCTCATTGATACGTCGCATTTTTGGAGACAATTTCAACATAGCACTTTCTCTCCTATGTCTAGCTAAACTCAAACGCGGTTTAGGATTAGGGGTTATTATCCTTTTAGAAGTAATTAATTCGGGTGATATTCTTTTATCCTCTTCAGTTTCAATTTGTCTTTTGGAGCATAAGCGTTTAATATGATCATTATTGATATCCGTATCGCTATTGTCATCGCTGGAATGCTCTTGATTCAGGGTCACATTTGACGTTTTCTTACGACTAGCACGCGCATACTGATTTAATACTACATTATTCGATTTATCATCAGATTGAGCTCTTTTTTTTTAACATAAGTGAAGTCGTACAGATCGCTCTCTTCATCCTCTGTAGAACTGTCTTTATTCACATTAGCGATGAGAACATTGGCTTTACGTTTACTAGCTCGCTCATGACTATCCCGATATGTACATTCCGCTTTGATTTGTTCAGTCTTAGGACTTGTTAATGACTTTTTATCCATTCTACTGTTAGCAGTGCCAACCTATAGAAACAAGGATTAGTATCAGAATAAGATTGAATGAAGTAAACAACTATCTTTTTTGTAAACAAATATAATTTATTCAAAAATGTTGTAGTTTACAGTTTTATTTGTGTTCTTGTAGATGCTTACGTATACATGTTTCCGTATAAATTCAATTTTATAGTATCAATAAAAAATATAATGTATATATACGCGCACGCGTGTATGTGTGTATGTTTTTCCTTAATCCCCGCGTGTGTGTGTTTTTCCTTAATCTGTTTGGCAAAAATGCCCGGCTCACAAATAATTTTATATATATACTTTGACGTAAGTTAAAATTGTGGAAGTAAAATACACGGAAGTTTAATACACAGGTAAAAACGCCTGTTCCGATTTGAGTCCTGGTTGAAAATAATATTTTCCACAAATTATTTGCAGGTTTTAAAATGCTTCTTATCATCAGTAATATTAAATTGATTATCAATAATTTTAGTTTTCATTTTTAGTTTATGACTATGTTTCAAGATTGACAAGTAAGCGGCGCATTGTTGACAAATTAAATTCATAAAAATATTGCATTGTATATATATATATATATATATTAAGAGCCTGGCTCTTATTGGTCTTTATCTCTCATTTTCATTTTAATGCACTGTGTTAATAACAGAGATGTAACAAATATATCTTATTGGATATGGCATTGCAATAGTGTACTGTACAATTTAAAAAAATATATATATATAAAACTGCATCAAGAAATCTTGCCAAAAAAAAATAAAAAAATAACATTGTTGATAGAAAGATTTAAGTAAAAAAAAATCAATGCATTTCTTTCAATATAAATAAAAAAATTTTTTCTAAAACTGACTTGACTTTATCGATAATTTCAAGGATTTCAAATCAGCTCATTTATCAGCAAAATTTGAGAGTTTACCAAGTTATACAGAGAGACTTGTTTAAACGACATAGAAAACGATTATATTTTTAATAATATCTAAATAAATATAAAATATTATGCCTAAGAGAATTGTTGCACATAAATTATTTGTAATATCGAATTTTGTATGACAAGTATATTAGAAAAACACGTATTAGATATATTTCTCAAAAAGAGATATTGAATATTTTATGTTCGTTAACGGTACGAACGATATTGGAGGGATTGTAGGGTACCCACCTGAATGGGTGAGCCCCATCGAAATATCGAATTGGTAACAGGGAGCCAATTGTACCCCAAGTCTGCCATTTCCTTCAAATGCTGGCTCATGGAACGTATTAATTGGTCGCGCTGTCGCGCATCGGACATGTTCACTTCTTTGCAATGCCCAAACGGCTCATGTTCTCGAGCCGAAAATCGATTTGGCTGTCGCAAAGGCACGTCATTTTCGTTGATACAAATATCGAGCGGATTCAACCGCCATCTTTCTAATTTCTGGACAACCTCATCCTGCGTGTTCTGTACAGTTTTTTTTTCTGCTACATTCTGACAATCCTGTGAGACGTTTTCCAATCTTAACGAGAGAAGTTGATTTCTGCTATACGTGGAGTTAGCATTATCATACTGTTTCTTGAATATCTCATCACTGTCGGAACTACATCTATATGTAGAGTTTCGTGTTTCAAAAAGAGGCGGGGATTCCGGACTGATACAGTGAGTCTTACGTTCATGTGTAGTTGGAGATGTATGATTCAATTTGTGTGAATATAACGGTCTTGACATCTCTGTACACTTTGGCAAAGCCACTTCCTGCTGCACTTTTGCATCAGAAGTAACATCTGATAGGCACTCATTGTCAGAATGTGTTCCCTAAAAGATTTCATGAAACATCAGTGTATTTTACTTTCTTCCTAGTTTCTTTCATTATGGTTATCATTGTAAAAAATATCTCATGCGATATCTCATTCAATATTCAAATTCAAAATATGATATATATATGTAATAAGCACAATTGTTATTATAATCACATACCTCTTGTATATTTTTGTTATTGGTAGTATGTGACGTATCTTGAAATTCATTGACAAATTCAAGCAGTCTTTTCATATCTTTATATGTAAATCCTGGCTCATATATCCCAATACCTAAAAAATAATCAACAGAATGTCTAATTACACTTTTAACAAATAAATTCTTAACTTTTCCTAATTAAGATAAAAGTTCTTCAATAATATTCAAATAAAGATATATTTTAATACACATTAATTTTCTATTAAAATTCTATCATATATTTTAAATTATTATTAATTAATTCCATCATATATCAATCTACAATGTGAGAATTCAAGATAATATTTCATTTACGATTTTATCTAACAAAATCTGATAACAGATTGTTGGCAAAAATCGAGAAGAATCTATTATTCTATAAACATTTAAAGATAATACAATATTTAAATGGTTACAAAATAACAAATTCTATCAATAATTATAATAATTTCTACAGTCAATCTGATATATTCTGTTTGCATATTTACAAAATTTATAGCAGATAAATTGCAAAATCTGGTAGATTTAATTATTCGGCAATCTGTATACATTTTCTATCTATTTTCTTATGTAAAAAAAATTGCTTGATTTTTTTAATCAGTTACAAAATACTCAATATTAAAGCATATATATGTCAAAATACGCATCATAAAAATTATAAATAAGTAACAATATTAAAAATTAAAGATAAGAATCGTATCCATCTTGAAATCTAATGCAAATTATAGATCTTCAAACTAGAGATTCTTAATATATATATTAAAAAGTTCAACAAAATTAAAATTTCCCCGTCATTCAATGCTACATTCCTAATTATTCCCTTACTATACTGTAAGCACAATTACCCGTGAGCTCGCGTTTCATTTGCTCTTCTTCGATTTCTCTCGCGGTTAACCTCTCATTTTTATCTCGCTCCATGCTGTTGGACATATCCCTCCGAAGATGAAGTAAAATTGCGAAAATCGTACAAAGCAATAGTCCTCTTCTGTTTGTTGATATCTTTCGGGACGTCACGTAACGTCACGCGTTTTATTCGCGCGCGTGACACCCCTCCCAATCGTGCTAACAAAATGTAAATAAAAGCCTTTATGTGTGATTAGACATGATTATCTTCCTCTACTTTTGGGCTGCGTTCCAATAATCACTGTCAGTACTGAAAGTCTATAATATACGTGACATGAACTATAGATAAATGCGCGCATATGCGCTTTACGGAATCCAGCCAATATGCAATCTACTTGATGCTATGAAATGTTTTATAATTGGTCACATGGTAGAATTTTTTGTTCTGATTGGTCAATCAAACGATTCGAAGTGCTGAATCGTACAATTTATAATTCTGAATGGAACATAAAAAAAAAATCTTCCAAAAAAATTCGCATATATACGACACATCTACTTCGGTGCAGATCGAACATAATAGTTTGTTTTTTTTAGCTGACTTCTTGTATATTTGTCTGTGTTTTCTTTTCTTTTCAAAGGGAGACATGGAGAAACGTGAACAAAAAAGAAATGTGAAAACGAACGGTGCAAAAAGTTTAATTAAAAGACCAGGCTTTAATCAATTTGTGTTAATGCTCGATACTCTTTTTAGCGTCAAAATAGATCATGTGATCAAAGTGACAGATTAATGAAATTTGAATGGCCACTTTTGATCACGTGATTTGACTCTCAAAATAAGCGTCGCCAACATGAAAAGACACCTTTAAAATCTTCCACCATCTCAGATTATGAAAACTGATCGGAATAAATTCGATCGATTGGAATTATTCCGTTTTTTCTAGAAAAGACAATAGAAATTTAGAAAATAACTAAACAATTTCGATTCGAATCCAAATAATTTCATAATATGTCCTGGTTTCATTGGAGTAAAAGTCCAGTATAACCAGTATACTCTGCAGTATACTCTGTAAAAGTATGTGGTTTCACAGATTTAATCGTATACAATATGTTTTTATTTATATCCAATGAAATTTAACGTAATGAAAACATATCTACTATGTATATACATATATACTAAAAAGATTCATAGAAATGAAAAATGAGTATATTACACTATTCTTTTTTATGATAAAGCACTTATTATTCCTCTATTTATTCTTGGATTTCCAGATACGTGACTATTAACACGATGTAATGGTCACGTGACCAACATGCAGAAATCAAATAGCGCGAATTTAGTCATCCGCGTTGCACCGGATGACCTTGATTGATGCGCATTAAAAGCTATTATATATGAGATATCTACATGCGCATTATTTTTTTAATAATGAAATTATTGATGCACATTAAACAACATGATAAAATCATTATTAAATATTTATATAATTTTAAAGATATCTAGTTCACAAATATAAATCACGATTGAAATTTAACTTGGTAGTCAATACCTGCCTCAATGAAATGTGCTATTGTGTGCATCACAAACTACAAAAGTTAACGCTCCGACCTTACTACATTTGCGTACTATAGCTTCCAAGATAATGCGCAATATAAAATATTCAATGAAGATGTTCAATGAAGGTGTTCCCTGGTCGAAGAATATAATACTACGTATAGATCTATTTTCTTGTGGCTGTTGTGTTTTATACTACGTTTAACATTGACAAGTCAGATTTTGCCAAATATCTACTACAAATTTTATCAGCAATGCCAACAGAAAAATATAAATCTGTTAACAGAATGTAATGGATCGAAGATTGCAGAAATTGAGTAGATTCTGCCATTTCGTTACTATTTGAAGATACACATTTCATTTAAATGACAGATTCTGTTCGGTTTTTGAGGATAATCTGCTGTCAAGTTATGTTAACAGATTTTCTTAGAAAATACGAACTTATTGCGGATGAGACGGATGACACTTGAGTGTTTTTTTAGTAACAGATACATGTCATTTATCATCCTTGTTGTTTATCGAATGTTAAATAAGGACACATGATAATATCATGATAAAGAATCGAACAAGTCGATTATAATTTCTGTCAATTGTTAAAAAGCGCTTTTTATTATTAATCTCTGAATAAATTTGATGCTAATTTGATAACAATTTGCTTATTATTTTCTGCATTCAAAAAGATGTAAACAGACATCGGTAACGAGAGAGTAAAAAATTTTTTTTTACTTGCTCCTACGCTTTTTTTTTATGAATTTTTATAAATAACGAATATAAAAATCTTAAGAAGGAAAACATGTCGAAAGTCGTGTAAGAATAAGATAATTCTGAAATAAAAATGCGAATTAATACTTTATAAAATTGTTATTAATTTTTATTTAAAAATCATTTTGATGCCAAAATCAAAAGATAAACAGTTTTTCATCGTCAAGTTTACGTACGCAACAGAGCTCATAAATGAGTAAGTGTTATGAGAAAAATTTTTTTAAATACTGTCTGTTGATTGGGAATTTTCGATGTCAAAATTTTTATAAAAAATTTTTTCCTACAATATGAGCACGTATATGTGCCGTTTTTTCATTAAAAAAAAAAAAAAAAAAAAAAAAATAAAACTTAAACGTACTATTGACGTCGATTACCATCAAAGAAAAAAAAACGAATGAACTCAAATATAATAAATCGTTACGTACTCCTACTAATAAATATAACATATTGCAGTTGAATACTCCTTTTTCTTGGGCTATCTCGCCCACGATGGTTTCTACTTTCCTATAACTTTTCTATTTATTACCGTATTGTATCGAACCGTGCGCGTTACTAGGAAGAAAACTCTGCAAGACGCCGGCGGGGTAGGAGGGAAGAGTGAAGGAAGGGGCATAGCATGCAAGTGTAAAGACGTAAATATGCGAGAGTCGGGGGTGGTCGAGGGTCGAGGGTGGTCGAGGGTCGAGGGTCGTCACCGCCGTACAGTGCAGGCGCACCGAGATACAATGGTGTACGTATCCCGCACGTATTTACACATAGCCGTCTGACTCGTCGCCGGCCTCGTCACCCCATCAACGGTGATTATGAAACTTGTAAATACTTAAGCATATCGAGCGCACACAGTCCACAGCTCTGGATCGTGGCTGATCTCTCGTCGGCGCGATCGTGCTCCGTTTCCCTCGTTCGCGTTCTCGAGAAGTATTTATTCCGCAACGCGCGCGACCGCACGCGACGTTACGGCGCGACGTCTTCTCGCATCTTCGTCGCGCGAGCACGAGCGCGCCCCCACGTCTTCGTCATGCCAGTTGCGAGATAATGCCGCGGCGGCCGATGCTCGGCGATCGCGCTCGGCGGACGCTGGACGAGGACGAGTACCAGGTTAGGCACGCGCGATTTATATCAATCCCCGATCGACGTGTCAGACGCGAGCGCAAATGGCGGCTGCTGCGGAGGAGAGTGTCTCCGCGCTTAGCGAGCGCGTCGACAAGCTAAGCGTCTCCGCGACGAAGGATGACGAGAGGGATGCGACGGGCAAGAGCAAGGATGACGGAGATGCCACGGCGAAGAGCTGCGAGCCGCGGCTCTGGGGCTTCGAAACGCGAGAGCTCTACAAGCTCGCGCTCAACTTCTACAAAGGTAAGCGCTTGACAATGTTTATTCATGTAACACTACCTCTCGTCACGATGGAACATAGAAATATATTTATTTAGACTGGTTTAATCATGGATTGTTTAAGTTGCTTTATTAAAAAGATCTTTACGTTCCTTTGTCCAAAAATTTTGAGGTACGTGTATTCTCGTGTTTTTTCCATTGTCATGCTGACTGTTGTAACGAAGGAAGATAAACAATAAATTCTCGATTTTATTCTAAGTATTATTACTAAAGATAATAGATGATTGGAATACTTTTATCAGTTAGTACAATAATTGTCAATTTTAAGTGTTATATTTTATAATTAAGAATTGTAAAGATGTATGTATGAATGTATTTTTTGTGATTATCTCTGAATTTACAAAATGTAATCGTTAATGTCTTTACATAGAATAAAATAAAAATCTCTCTTGTGTGTAAATTTGTACACATGCAATAACTATCAGCTATGACAATAACTTTTTATCTGTTTAACTTGAAACATGAATAATATTCATCTAGATATAACGTAATAATAGAGGTACAATTTAAGAAGTATTAAAAAAACTTTGATATTAAATAAATTTTAATTTATTTTGAGTATTGTTAAGTAGCTAAATTATTTATCTTATTATAGTTTTTTAACAAAATTTTATTATTGAAAATTTAATTTATTTAGAGAAAGAAGGCAAAGCTGTTCACCTTTCTTACGAAGATAAATTGAAATTGGTGGCATTTACACAACAAGTAACACATGGAAAGTGCACAGCTGAGAATGCACCACCATTAGGTGTTCTGGACATGATTGGAAGAGATAGACGCTTAGCATGGCAGAATCTAGGAGATATATCAAAAGAGCAGGCAATGGAAGGTTTTATAGTATTACTGGATAAACTATGTCCTTTGTTCAGAACTGTAGTCGAAGCGCAAAAGAGAGATTTTGAGGAAAAGCAACGACTTAAAAAAGAGGAAGAGACCAAAAAGTTAGAAGAGGAAAGGAAACTTAAGGAACTAGAAGAAGAGAAAAAAAGCAAGAAGAAGAAAGGTTGAAGGAGGAAACTCAGAGGAGACAAATTCAAGATGCTTTGAATCAGCAAACGTATTATCAGTTCAAAGTATATGCCGAACAACAATATCCTGGTAATCCGGAACAGCAGGGTGTTCTAATCAGGCAATTGCAGGAACAACATTATCATCAATATATGCAGCAACTTCATCAAAATCAGTTAGTTATCGAGGACCAAACCGAGGAAGAAGAAGAAGAGAAAGAGAAGAAAAAGAAGAAGAGCATTCAACCAGAGGATACGACGGCCAAAAACGATGACAACAAGGATGATTCGAACGAAAACGAAAACGAAAACGAAAATGTGAATGACGAAGATTCAGATGAAATAGAGGACTGGCCACCTATCACTCCCGCAGAAATGTGGACAAGAAAAGGTGTAGAGGAATTCAAGCAAACCATCAGAAGAGAGACGGGCGACGCAGTTATTAAAGTCGGCCATGGCGAAACCGTTACGGTGCGAGTACCGACGCATGAAGATGGTACGTGCTTGTTTTGGGAATTTGCCACCGATGGTTACGACATTGGTTTCGGAGTTTATTTCGAATGGTCGAAACCGGAAACGAATCAGGTATCTGTGTATATAAGCGAATCCGAGGAAGACGAGGACGAGGAGGAAGAGTACGAATCACGGGAAGATTTGGAAAGTGGCTCGGTGAATGGTAACACTCGACCTGAACGTAGAACGACCACCCCACCTATAAGCGTTATAATACCTGTAAGTACTTAAATATCATATGTTGAAATGGTTGAAATTGAATAATTCCAGTTTAAAATTACATAAGTCTTATATCTATCATTTTATTTGTTATTTACAGATATATAGGAGAGATTCTCAAGAGGAAATTTATGCCGGAAGTCATCAATATCCGGGCGAGGTAAAAAAAACAGAATATTTTCTGCATTATTTAATTGCACGTGCGTGCATACATGTTTCGTCAAAAATAATTATTTATCGTCGTTTCTGTTCTGTTTGCAGGGAGTATATCTTCTAAAGTTCGACAACTCATATTCGCTTTGGCGGAGTAAAACGCTTTATTACCGAGTATATTACACGCGGCAAAATTTTACGAAGAATAATAATTAATCTTTACGTTGCATATTGAAATAAGATGTGTAACGAATGTACTGTCGTTTGTTGAGCACTAGCCTTGGCATAATCGTCTGATAACTGATAATGCTAGTCCAACTGAATAAAGAGTCCTATTTGTCCCTATTTGGTTCGCGCAAAAGCGACTAAATAAATGTTCACATACAAAGAAGATATATTTATTGTATAGTTAAATAAGAACACACGACACGTTCTATCCTTTAAAGTGGCAAAAAATGTGCACAAAGAGAAAATAAATTCTAAATTGTTCTCAAGAAGCAAGAACTCCCATGTCGTGCAATAAATGTAAATTGGCATTTAATCTGTATGTGCATAATATATTACGTATCTGCGACAATTCTTGCGTACATTATTATTCGCGTACATTATTATTAAGTGGCGTTCTGTCCTTATAATTTTGAACAAATTTTTAAATATTTGTATTAGCGCGCAAAAATCTTTATCTTTTATATGGAACAATGGAGCAATGGCTTCATTTTAAAACGATGAGTTAGACGTATACGCACGTTGAATATCTATCATCTACGTGGATATTTGTTTATGGAATATTTTTTTGGACTCGATGTTTTATATATATATATACATATATATATATATATATATATATGTATATACATATACATACATACATATACATATATTTTATCACTTAGCATTCACTATGTCATAGCTTTTATTAAAATTATCTTATTTTCTTTAAATACAGCAGCAGAATTCAATGCGCATTTCTTGTTTTATTTGCGATGCAACGCGACAAAACTCACCCTTTTCCATTTTTTGGTAACGTTTATTAATCTACGTAATTATGTTGTTTTTACAGCAATGTCGTGCGATTTATATTATCCATGAGATTAATAATGGTAGTAATAAATAATAATGAGTATAATATATCCTGTAATATACACACACACACATTCAATTACAGACTTACACTAACGGGTATGCGTAATTCCGCTCTTATCGTACTCTCATCTTATCATACGTTTAACACTTTGATCTATTATGACGTTTAATTAGAAGAGCACTTTTTTTGAGACGGCGTAAGTTTTGTCGTTAATTTATTCGAAGACAGAGCAAAATCGATTTTGTTATGCGCGCTCTATAAATACATGTAGATTGTCCACAAGAGATTAAATAAGCGCCGATTAAACGGAATTATGTCAAAATTACCGTTGGCTCATTATATTTGGCTCGTAGCGCGTTAGCTATACGTATATATGTACTTGAACAGCCTATTCACAAGCACACTTCCACATGAACCAAATTCTACTTCCTAAGCATCAAGTACATTGCGCTTCGCTAAAAAAATACGGCTTCGTTGTACGAACATTTTCGATAAGAAAGCTATTTTCACATATTTTTTTTTATTCTTGATTTTTTTGTTCCTGAATTACATATAATGAGCGTATCTCCTCGACTACCTGGATCAACATTGATTTTCCGGACCTTCAATCGGATGTGTCGTCGCGCTCGACAAAAAAAAAAAAAATTTAGTAAGCAGCTCATTCGTGTATAATATACAATTGTTATACCGCAATCGTGGTATGGCAGTTGACGAATCCCAAAGCTCTACTTTCTAACGCGTTTGTTTTCCTTATTTTAAATTTTAAACAATGCAAAATGTTTGCTTTGTATGCGTTGGCCTATTGTTATGGCCTAAAAGATCACTATTTTAAAAGACCACTTGTCCACCATTTAATCTAAATGCGCTAGTAAAAATCGTGATCTTTGTAGTCGTTACGCCCAGAACTAAATGTGCTACTTCTTCATCAAACACTCATCGTCCTGAGATTCTCACATGGCGGCCTTATCCATCAGACGCATAAACATTCCGCCTGTTTCAGCCAGGAAGATTGAACGCCGTATAAATTACGATTAGGTAAAAACAATTTTGGAATATTTCTAGACAAATTACAGGTATGTATCGATACACATTATTAGACATATTTATATGTCTGAAGCACCAACCCAGATAACCAAGCTTGATGTAGCATATTGAGTAAACTAATGCGTATGTTACATATTTACTGTCTACATTTGCTGACATTGAAATAGAATAATAGCGTTTCTAATACAGCAATATGAATGCTTGCATATGCAATTAATTGATGAAATTTCAAAAGCAAACAGCAATACTGGTACATCATGTTGTCAGCAGTATGATAATAACGGGTGATTTGTCATTTCGTTTAGAGATGCCAAATGGAAGACGCGGTCAAATTGAAAATTATTAATTGCGGATGACAAATTGACAAATCGTCATTAAGTTGCTGTCATGAAACCTCTTTGCCAATAGCAGATCGGTAGTAATATGTTGCCATCAATTTGCTGTTGTTAAAATTAGAATTAAAATTTACGTAAATTTAATGCGATAAACATAATCCCTGGTAAAAAATTTTTTACATGTAGTTAGATATAATTATATAATTATATGTAAGGCGTCATATATAAAATATGTCTCTATATAAAAATTATGATTATATATAAAGTGGCGATTACAATTATATGTAATTATATATAAATATATGTATTGATACATAATTATATATAATCATATATACATATATATTTTTATACATGGACATATTCCATATATAATTATATAGAAAGTTTTTATTAAGAAAATTTAGAAAATTATTTATTTTATATTATTATATTATTTATATTTATTTAGAAAATTTTTTACCGGGATGCCTTTTTCTGTATTTATCAAAATTAATTATTTCAATGATTGTGGGCAACATGACAGCAACCTCAGCATTTGGCTATCTGGGAAATACATAAACTCAAATCCAAAATTTCTCGATACTTTTACGAAACATTCGATTTAAATTTTTATATATCACATTTGGCCATCGCGCTCCTAATTAGTATCTCAAGTTGAAATACAATTAAGTTATCACATATCATAGATAACATTTGAATTATACTTCGAGAAAACTTTGATTAAATTAATCGATGATTATATTCAATGTATTTGTAGTATTTTGTTAATGTGGACAAATAATTATTAACTTTTTGTCGCTCAGTATACGAAAGAGAAATTTGAAATTAAATAAATGAAAATATGTAATTAGAAATTTTACCGTAAACTAGATCAAAATTAAATCGAAATCTCTAACCTTAAGCTCTAGACGCGCGTCTTAATTTTTGCGCGATTACGTTGCTCTTTTTTTCAGCCTTAAGATTACGGATCCAAGGTATACGTATAAACACGACGAAGGCATATGCGGTAAAATATGTGCGTGTGTGTGCGTGTGTAGAGCGCCAGTTTTTTGTGATTGAAAGTGAACATTTATCAAAAACTCAGCGCGGCTATCTTATCAACACGCGCGCTCGCATCTGAGAATAATAATCGCGTGCAGTGTTAATTAATTGAGCTATTGCTTAACATCAGTTTTACTTCGCTTTACTCTACCTGTAGGAAAACGCGTAACTTAGTATCATTCGACGGATCTCTATACTTATCTATACATAAAATAGTTCCATAACGAATGAGCAACTGCGAGAAAAATAAATGCCTCGATAGGGATCAATAGGAAAATTCATTTTGCAAGATTGAGTTTTTTCATTTTAAGTAAGTGTGATTTAAATTTTAAACTCAACAATTTTTTTTTTCATACTTTAGAAATATGATGACGTATGATTACGTTATTATTGAACAACGGTATCGTTAAATAAATATTTTTAAAAAGAAAAAATATAATTTTATCTTTTTCTTTTTCTAATCATAAAATTAAAAAAAAAATTTTTCAAGAAAAAATCTTTATATATAGAACGCATTTTTGAGAAGAAATCTTAAACCCCTATCTTTTCATCTATTTCCCATACAGTTGTATGTAATGTGTTACATGGACTGATATACAATATAACATCATATAACAAGTAATAACAAGTGAAATCTTCGATTTCTCGTTTATATTTACATGTTCGAATAATATTGGAGATGTATAAACAGGAAATGGATGTTGATACATTCCTTGTTAATATTTGAAATTGTACTTGTACTCCATTTGGAAAGGCAAATATAAACGAGTAACTCGAAGAAAAATAATTATAATTAATTAATTTTATATAATTATAAATTCTTTTATAAATTTTTACAAATAATTCTATAGACCTATAGACGGAGCATGTACTACTAATGTACTACTAATTAGAAGTGTGAATTAAATGGGAAAAGAATTCCACTTAATTTCTTTTGGCTTATTCCATTTAATTTGGAACCATTTGATTTTTCAGCTTTTTGTTTTTTTTTTCATACGTCAATGATAATGTTGTATTTAACATGTTAACTCAACATAAATAAAAGCATGCACATATATAAGAATTTATATTGAGGGTAATAAATAAAATAAATAAATAAAATTTATAAGTTAATTTTTTTAAATTCTTAACTTCATTACTTGATAAAAACTATATTTATATTATATTAAATAAGTAGAAATTAAACAATTTGAACCGTTTGAATTTAGATTAATTTGTAGCGTAAAAGTTTAATCCGCAGAGACAGGCTTCGTGTCTATAGATCTGTGAATAATTCTATTAAATTATTTAATTAATAAAAAATATAGACTTAAAAGAATATGTAACAATGTGGAACTTGATTAGGTTCTTTTAAATTTGTGTTCAAGATCCACGAAATATCTTATATATAATACAAATAAAATAATCGAATTCAAATTCAGAATATACAAAATACTTATACTCTTATACTCTTATACGATACTCACGAAATACACACACGATAAATCTAAACGTCATGTTCACTAAACAATAAATAATGAAGAAAATATTGTTTACAGCCGCAACTCGTAATAGCTTGCGTACGTAATTGACTCTTGACGTTTTGTAACAGCGTATACGCCTAAATGCAAATTGCGCGTTAACTTTCAAATTGGCTTGACTAAATTAGCGAGGCACATTGTCCCGAAAAATTAATTGTATTTTGACTCATTCCCGAAGCGCTATCGTTGTTTCACTTGGCCCAATGCAATCTGATTTCTATATACTTTTCATCAATATCCGTAACGCGCATTTAATATTAAATACGTTTGTGTCAAATAACACAGTTTAATAGAAAAACAGTTTCAAAATTAAAAGGAAAAAAAAAGAGAAAAAAGGGATAAAAATGCATGCGACGAAAAAGTGATGTAAGTAAATTACATTTTAGAATAAATTTAGAAAGTAAGAATTAATTGTAAAAATATAGATAAAAATGAAATATTTGTTATCCTAATACTTACGGTCTCATTTCAACGCAAATTTTATATCTTACACTATTTTGGTGTAACTTTGGTCGTTCAAAATATGATCATATAAGTCTTATTAAGCCTAATTTATAAATTTCTTTTAGAAATTAAAAGTCCTATCAACTATATTTTATTTTAAACGAAATTAATTTTTTTAGGTCAAAACAGACTTTTTTACAAATTTAAATTTAAATTTGTAAAAAAACTGAAATAAATAATAATTTATATTTAACATCAAATGCACGCATTTGTAATCTTTCTTTGAATTTTTTTGATAGCCGATTTTCAAATTTTCAAAATGCGCAAATTGTGGTCCTCTTTCAAAAGTGCCTTTAAGCGAAGGCGCTAAGGGCAATAGCCCGCGTTGAAATATTTTTTGAAAAATTGCATGACTCGTTCGTGTATCTGATTAATTCGAAAAATAGTAGGACGGATACTTACAATATAAGTAGTGTGGAACATAGGAGTAACAATTTTAAGGCTGAGTCATGCTGACATTTTGAGTCAGCTAAATCTCCAATGACTCTCTGTCCTAATTAGAATATAGTCCCATTTACATAGCAATACTGCAGATAGAGGAGGAAAACTAGCAATCTTATCTAAGAGTGAGTTGCATTAACGATCTAGGTTAACGTCCGGATTAAAATTCTGCTGATTTTTTTTTTTTTTTTTTTTTTTTTTTAATTCAGATACCTATTCTCAAGAAACTCTTAATACTGTACTGTAAACACGATATTATTCATAGAAAAATTCAGATTGTTTTCGTTTCATAAAATTATTCAAACGTACACACATCGATAAATTCCAATATATCTATATCTGTAAATTTTGAAGATATGATTTCTTTGATATTTAATTATCAGAATTGAATATTCAATATTCAAAAGTTATGACTTATAAAAAAAAGTTAAGTTATGACTTATTATTAACAACTTATTTAAAAACAGTCAACCTTCCATGGAGACTATTTCCGTGAATATTTTATGGTTTAGATTAAAAAAAGAATGCGCAGCAGAAATATTAACCACGGTTGCGTCTAATCGAGATCGGTGCAATTGGCACTCCGAGAATCAGCACTCATTACAACGATGTCTCTATGCTAAAATTCATCCGTCTGGCGTTTTCCGTTCTGTAGTCCTCCACCCTGCCTGTAAAGCTTCTTCGGAAGTTCCTGTCAAGACGTGCGACCTTTGGACGTCTCTCGGTGAGCGATCTGGTTAAACCGGCGTGGCGTCTTCTGTTCGATAAATATCTCGGGTTGGCCGGATGATTTTCGCGAGGTCTATCGTCGTACTCGTTCGAACTCGTTGACCATCTGTTTGCGCGTTCGGACAACGATCTGTCGTAGGAAGGAAGCGAAACGCTGTCGTGTCGATACGCACGCGGCGTCTCTTCCGCTCTACCAGGGATACCCGTAGTCTGCTCAAGTCCGTGCTGTCTGCTGTGTAAAAGATACTGAAGTTCCCTTTCGTAGGGATAGGATGGAAGATGCATGGCGTGTGAACATGTGGCACTGTCGGGCCGAAATTGATTTCTGGTATAATTGCTTGCTGGAAAACATCTTGCGTCCCGAATGGCTGGAGGTCGGCTTGGCCGAGCAAGCATCGCCGAATCGTTTGCAGGATCCTCTTTGACATTGTGCCCTCTTAAATTTCTTACTGGCACAAAATCCTTGCCGCCGAAAGGATCGCCAGGGAAGACTTCTTGTATTGGACTGGCGAAAATGAGCGTTCTATAAAGACAATATCGATTTATTTCACTTGTTTGAAATGTCGCATGAAGCAATTGATTGTTAAAGCAATTGATTATTTTGTAACTTAGAAAAAGAAATATAGTGAATGTTGTGTTTAAACATACGAAATTCTTTGTTTTATCTGTAAGTAATTGCTTTAACTCCAAGTTATATATTGTAATATGTTAACTTTTAATTTGGCAGAGTTAAGTTAATTTAAAATTGTCTTATAAGATAAAAGCAAAAAATAAAACTATATAATACTTATATAATACTTAATTTAACTATATAATACTTTATTTTATATATAACACTTAAAATTTTTGTTTAATGTTTTAAACAATTTTATTTTTATAAAATATAGAAATATAATTATATATAATAATATAATAATTACAATAAATCAAGAAGAGTGTATAAATATAATTCTAATAACTTTAGGGAATTCAAATTTGGAAATTTATTTTCGTTACAAAATAAATTTGAATAAAGTGTAGAATATTGTATTTGTAAAATAGCTTACAAATTAATTGCCAGATTTAAAGTTAACAATTATAAGATAATTACCAATTAATAATAGTACAGCCATAATATACCAAAATACAAGCCGTTATGTGATGAGTAAGCAGAAACAAAATACAGCGTAATATTAATTATTAATAAGCAGTAAATAACATCAGCAACAATTAACAATAAAGCTTGCTTATAATTATCATAAAATGCATAAAATGCGTAAGAAAATTGCTGATCACTCAAAATCTAATACTACGACAATCAGCATTAAACAAATCAATATTAAAGTAACAAAACTTTACCTGGTATTTTCCCGTTTCGGATCACTGAAATACATTTTATCTCTTTCTGCTACGAATTCCTCGAACGATGGCATCCTCCTTCTAGGATTCAGCCTCTCTCTTGAGCGTGGACGATCGCCCAATTTATCGGCTTGAACATCGCTCTTCTCGCCTTTGTCGGAACTACCAATGTGCCCGGGACCATGATTAGCATCCTGTTCGGCAAAATTCTGGAATTCATCCATGGTGACTAATGTGTACCTGCGCCTGTTTTGTTTCAGGATCGACTTTAAGCAGAAGTACGTCTTCGAATTGGGTAACTTCCAGCAGGCCTCGTTCGACATAGGATTCACCACGATCCTGCTACGATTCAGTATTCCTGGCTCGGTTTTTGGAATGGCCCCCATGTTTCTCGGGGAAACGGTCGTCTCGTCGAGAGAAAGGGAACGATGGTGACTCAAAGGGGGCGGACGGGAGGCCGGGAATCTCCTCTGGCGTTCGACCAAAGAAGGGTGCTGCCTTTCATAGAAAGGAATATTCGTCTGCACGTTGGCGGAGCTGTCTCTGCCAACTGTGTCAATTCTACCAGCTCTGTCAGCACTGTCAACTCTGCCAACTCTACCAATTCTACCAACTCTACCTCCTAATTGTTCTTCTTCGTTCTCAAGTATGTTCTCCAGGCTCCTGACATTGCCTTTAGGGAGCGTATCCAATTCCGATCGCGATCTTAAATTAGGTTCGGAAATGTCACGGGGAATAGCCCCGTGCTCTCTTCCGGGCATTGTGCCGGGAATAAAATCTCCCGATGAAATTTGCGAGGGCCCTTCGCCGGGCTTGTTCCTCGCGATAACACGAGGAAGGACGTCAACGTTGATTGTTTGCGTACTGGCGGAAATTCTACCACAACTGCTGCACCTACTTGGAGACGCGTCGATGTCGTTCATGGAATGTGGAGTCACACTTGTGGGGGGACGCAATCGACCGTCGGCAGTCGTTCGTAGCATTGCTAATTCACTTTCAAAGGTATCGTTAGCTTCGATGCCCGTTATCAGCGGACTGCCGATCGGCAGGTGTTCTCTGCTGGTCATAATCTCAGCGTAACTGCGCTCGTCCATTCTACTCTCATAGCCACTCGTGTTTCCGTGACACGGACAAGGGCAGTGACATTCGCATGGCATCGGCGATAACACTTGTCTATTCAGATCAACGAAATTTGCGTTATAAGATGTTGCTGCATCGGTCGCGCTTTCAGTGCCGGCATTAGTCGCGATCGCGTTCCGACGATCGCACTGTTCGGCACGCTCGTAGAGAAGCGCCTCCGAATAGCTGGGTACCATATCCGTCGCGACGTTTGTCTCTCCACGAGTTTGCCAAGGTTCTTGTCTCTGTTCCGGCTCGTTATTGCGAGGCGTTGCTGGTTCCATCAGCAACGCTTCGCTGTAACTGGGCGCGAGCATGTAGGAACCCGGCTGGCTCAGCTGGCTCATAGATGCGTGGATAGGTTCGCCGGAGATCGGTGTATCGTAATTTACGCCAAAAAGCTTGGTGACCTGAGACAGAGAATCTCGCATTTTTATTTCTACAACAAATTTAATCGCATACTTTTCTTAGAGAAAAAAGAAAAAACTAACTTTTGTAATAAAATATTAAAATTTTAATATTCAAGTCGTGAATAAAAATATGTGCAGTAGAGTGTGAAATTACAAGATAAAATAATATAAATGAATAATTATTTTATTATAAATAAAAGATGAATATGGTAATGTGATTAAAAAAATTATACATATATTAAAATATATTAAAATGACAATAAAAGTAATTATATATAACGAATAATATTTCATATTTCAATAATAATGAAATTTTAAACAAAAAGATGATTGAATTGCAAATCGGATGATAATCCTAATTCATTTAAAATTATTATTACCTGATAATCAGCGTATTGTGTTTTATATTCGATGATTACTCGTAACGGCCAACTAAGAAGTAAGGCGCTTAAACACCAATAAACGTAACGATTTGTGAACCACGGGTTACCAAGAACGGCAACTAACATCGTGTTAACATTATATCCGAGATCGAGACCTTCTCTCATTTCCATGTAGTCATCACTAAGTTCCTGAGAAAACGGAAATATTTCTCGTTATTTACATCCTTATGAAATTTGATTGAATTTTTCGTCCCTTTTTCCTTTTACTTAAATTTTGTTCGTATAGTAGATAAAGTCCGAATTTAGTTAGTGTAACAGAAAATAACGATGCAATAATTATTACATACGTACAAGCATACATTTCCGTACCTGTTCTGCGAAAAATCGTGATCGTGCCTCCTCAAATTCCGTGGCGGCTCTTATGTTCGAAAATGCGAATCCCTTGGTAAGCATAATCTTCGTGATCTGTATCTTTGGCTCGAGTATCAGTTCCTTACTGATGTCCTTGACTCCACAATAGTCATAATAGTAGTGGGTGGTGGCCGAGTGTGTGTTCACCCTCTCGTAGTAGACCTGTACGGCGAGGGGGTGAGAGGAGATTCGTTAGGCGCGTCCTTAACCCTTCCGTTATCACGACATCAATTATCACGATATATTCCCAACGTACAGCAGCAGAATATTTGCATGAGTTTTATCAGAGGCTTTATGTAGAAGGCTATTTATTTAAAGCTTCTTAAAGTCTCAATCTGTTTTAAATTATTGTTTTCAATGTTGTGAAGATGTTCAGATTTGATTCTAATCCCCCCTCCCTAAAAATTTTTTAATTTT